ATTTGCCCTATAAATAGAAATCAAGGGTCAGCCGATTATGGTTGCTCCATCTCTTCTCTCCCACTCCTGATACACTCTCTAAGCCCTATTTTAACCCCCGACGCCCCGATATCAACCCCGAGACCCGAAGCAATTCTCGAAGCCCGAACATCCCGAGAAGAAAAGAGTTTCCGAGCCGAAGCTCTGCCCGCGAGAAGTCCGGTGTGTGAAGATATCCTGGTTTCACCAAAGAATACTACCATTGCAAGCCGTAGTGCTGTCCGATCATCTTCTGATCAAGTGAGTGTGTAGTTACTTTCTTCTTACACATAAATACTAAGTATTTGCTATGAAATACGTGCTATATGTGTATATATTGTTGTTTATTTAAGATGATTGTGGAATGGATGAATTATATAGGTTTTAATGAGTTAATCTGTATATGTATTTTGTATCTACAAGTATGTGGGGTAGAGCATGGGTAGATGAGATTGTTGGTATGGGATAAAAAGGGTAAAGCGATAAACTTGTTCTAGATCTGGGAGTATGAATCAGATCAAGAGGTTAGTTTTAGATCCGGGAGTACGGATTATGTATTTTTGAACTATGTGTTCATTCGATAAGGTATCATGTGTATAGTCCCTTTTAGGAACGTGATTTTAATACGAGTATTGATTAAAGTATGAAATATATATATATATATATATATATATATGTGAATTATTTGCTATTGCTCAAAACGTATGTTATATATATAATTGATGATACACAACGTACGAACCAGTTATGGTCCAATATGTGTTAATATGTGTATATATGATATTATTACTTAAAACTTTGTGTTAAGTATACTCATAGTTAGTGTTTCCAAACGGAGATAGTATCGAAAATTGATTATAGGCATTGTAGGCTTGCCTAGTGATGGGTTAAGACTTAAATAGGGATGTTTAGTTCCATTAAGTTTGGACATTGGGTAGCCTCTTATTAAGAGTACTTGTGTTGTGAGATTGATGATCGGTGGAGTACGTCCTACGTACAGAAGTACATTTTATGTACGAAGTCCTTTTCAAAGCTCTGTGTCTTGGGTGCTGCTTGTGCCAGGGTACTATTATGTTCTCGGGTACGAGTCTTTCGCATATCAGAGTACTATAATGTGCCAGAAGTAATATCATGTACAAAGTCTTTTTGACAATTTTGTGTGTCGGTTACGGGAACGTACAGGAGTACTCTAGTAGTATTTCCCCATACTTTTATTTTAATAGAGCTTTGGAGTCAGCGTTTCTTTTATGAAGTGATCGACCGAGCTTCATATGTCAGCATTTTCTTTCACGAAGTAATTAAGGGAACTTCGTAGACTGCCTAATAAAGTGTGTCAGTAATAGACCACTGCTAGGTATGTCTGGTGTTATATTGCTGGATAGGGTGCGTCTGGGGGTGAAATACCTCATGATATTCAGGTCACTGCTAGGCAAAGTTCGATGCTGGGATAGGTAGAGTCTGGGGGTATAATACCTCATGATAGTCGGACCACGCCTAGACATTGTTATTTAGATAACTACCCCTGACTTAAAATGTCTTGTGGTTCTTTCTTTTACGAACGAAGGTTCGTGGTGAAACTTATTCCATTCCCCTCATTTGATGTCTTTATTGATCCTCATTTGCTGCCAGGGAATTTCCGAAGCAACTTCGTCAGTTTGTGGTTCATATCAATTCCTTAGGCTAGATCTCATAAGATCATTGTATAGGGTCAGTATGTGGGGATCGACGGGATGGGATATATTGTTTTAGAAATATGATATATATGTGTTTATAATATTAGTGGTTTTGTAGGATCGAGATATACTTTATTATCACATTGTTTGAACTAAGAGCTTTCGTACTCTGTGTTCCTTAGGTGATTGGGTTCACCAGGGATATTCGAACTAAGTGTTCATTAGATATTTGAACTTAGTGTTCATCAGGGATATTTGAACTAAGTGTTCATTAAGTGTTTTTGAACTAGGTGTTCATTGGGTAATATTGGAACTAAGTGTTCATTAGGTGATCTTGAACTAGGTGTTCATTAATTATTATGAACTGCGTGTTCACCAGAGGTAATCTAAGAACCTTGGCGGCACTAGACTTTGTGCCAGTTCCTTAGGGCAATCCTTAGGAATGAATGGGAGAAGGGTAATTGGTTCTTAGGATAAATCTTTAAGAAATAAATGGAGATAATGGGGGTGGGTAATTGGATTGATTGTTTGATAATTGAATATAATAATTATATTATTGTGGGTTGAAAACCCTATATGCTCACCAGGCTCCCAAGCCTGACCCTCTCAGTTTTCTTTGTATTACAGGTTATGGTATGAGAGCATAAGTTGGCTGACATAACGAGAGATTTTGGATTATAGGCCAGTAGTTATGAATAACTGTTGTAAGGTCTATTTTTGTTCTGTTTATGCTTTTGGTATGTATTGAACATGACATCCCGATATTTTGTTATACAATGAAAATACATTTCTTTAAAGAAATGTTTTGATAAATTCTTATCATATTTTGTTTTGGGAACAAATTCCGCAACTGTTTTCTTTAAAAGATTACTCTGATTTTAAAAAAAATAAAGCATAAACAAATCGGTCTTTCCTGGCCGTGAAATTGGGGATGTCACATGTGGTGAAAGCGAATGGCCAGAAGGTATTTCAGATGTTTGCATGAGAAAGCAATGCAAGTCCCGTTTCTACAATATGCCTATGTCGTCTTTCGGCATATCCGTTGTGTTCTGGAGTATGAGGCGGTGAAGTGAGGTGAGTAATTCCTGAAGAAGAAAGGTGGGATTGAAGTTTTAAAAATTCACCACCATTGTCTGAGAAAAACTGTTTGATCTTTATGTTGAAGAAATTTTCAACAAGTGATTGGAAAGGAGTGAAGATAGATAACGAATCAGATTTCTTTTTCATGGGGTACAACCATGTATATTTGCTAAAATGGTCAACCAAAATGATATAATACTTATAGTGATCATAGGATTGAACTGGAGAGCACCAGACATCCGAGAAAATAAGATCTAGTGGAGCATGTGAGGTAAGAGATGTTTCATGAAAAGGTAATTTGTGACTTTTATTATTAGAGCATGAGTTACAATGATCATAACAATTAGAATTGAAAGAAAGAACAGATGACAATTGCTTAAGAACTTTATTTTGAGGATGCCCTAATCGATGATGCCATGTGGTTGGAGTAATGCGATTCATGGCAAAGATTTGAGGCTTTGTGGCAGATCTGAGTTTATACATTCCCTTGACTGCGGTTCCCTTGAAGAGTGGAATCTTGGATGACAGATCCTTTATGACAAAAACAAAAGAATAGAATTCTATTAAAAATTTGTTATCAACACATAGACGAGAAATTGATATGATATTTTGAGAAAGAGTAGGAACATATAGGACATGTTTGAGTATGAGTTGTAGGAAGCAAGCCATGTGTGGTGGTTGGTTGTCGAGGAGGCCATGTTTTCTTAGTGCTCTGATGGTTTGAATAGAAAACAACAGCAGGTTGATGGATATCAACATTTGAGACCTGTTGAGCAATAGACAATTCATGATTTATTAGTCTTTCATGTAGTTCAGTGAATGATATAGGTGAGTCTCTTGCATGAAGAGCATCAAGGATCGGCTTGTAAGCTGTTTGATCAAGCCCATTGACAACTGCATTAGTGATGTCCTCTTGATCGAGTTTCTTCCCAAGGATAGCAAGCTCGTCAACTACTGTTTTGACACTTTGCATATACTGAGTGATGGTTTGGTTGGAGGTTTTGGTGAGTTGCTTTAGCCGATGTTGGAGTTGTTTGATGTGTCCTCTTGATGGAGAGGCATATATAGTGGCTAGGGTTTGCCAAGCTTCACGGGAAGAAGATGCATTTGTTACCAGTGGTACAATTTCAGGAGAAAGAGTTCCGACTAGGGCAGCGAAAAGAAGGCGATCTTGCCTGAACCACTTCGGATAGTCTGTGTGGGGGGTGCTTGTTCCATCAGCGGCGATTTTTGGTGCAGGTGCAAGGTGTGAGCCATCGATAAATCGATATAGATCAAGGCCGTCTAGCAGAGCTTCGATCTGAGTCTTCCATCCAAGATAATTGGTGGATGTGAGTTTTAGGGTTGCTGGGAAATTAACAATAGTGATGTCTTTGAATGTTGTATTGATAATGAGAGAAGAAGAGGCATTGTCGTTGATTCCCATGTGTTTTGGAGAGGGAAGAGGTGAGTTTTCTGGTGTGATATGTGTCGAGCCAAGCTCTGATACCATATAAGAAAAGAAGAGGATATGGAAAGAGTATCTTGTATATATTAAAGGTGTTTTACAGGAGGATATACAATGATGTATATATATTGATGCTACAGCTAATTATGAGATAAATAAGGAAGACTAATAACAAGAATTGACTAGATACAAAACATATGTGGCGTGAGAGGATTCTAGATAAATTGCAAGATGTGCTCATCTCTTAACAACATGATGGAAAAACTAAACTAGTTAATTAGAAAGCTAATATTTTTAACACAAGTTATTGACCGGGTTCACTAAGTTACTTGAAAAACAATCAATCAATCAAGAGTTTCGTTTGTGTTTTGTTAAGAATATATATTAATTGATATGAATTCTCGTACCATGTGTCTAGACCATCTACATCTTCGTTTTCGCACAATGTCAAGATAAAATACATACAAATTGAAGAGCATTTGTTAAAATTATGTTGGTACTAATTACCATTTTGTTTTCTAATTATTTTTATAATTCAAAACTTTTGTATGAATTGCTAATGTGATTTCATCATAATTGATTAACATATTCTTTTATAAATATTTTTGTTGAGGTACATAGTATTAACTAAGTTTGGATGAAAATTTTAACAAGTTTTAAAGTTGGATGAAGTATTTTGACAATTTCTTAAAGTAGAAAGGGTTTATTTGTACAAAACTTTACGTGCAGTGCCGGGAGTAAAGATTTCAATGCTCTTCCCCACATGATTTCATTTCCACTGCCTTCAATCCCAATTCCCCCTTCCCCTTTTCACAACCCGACTTCTTCTTTTCTCTATTTTAACTTCCATGAGTGCTACTTTACTCATCCACCAAGCAAAGAAGAAAACCCAATGATTCAACTCCCAAAATCCTCCATTGATTAATGTGCTCTTGCTTCCACACCACATTACCTATCTGCTCCTTTTCACATCCCTCAAAAACCCCAATCTTTACCAAAAATGGTGAAGAACCCATCGCATCAAGACATCGATTCATCAACTTACATGACCATTTTGAAAAAGTTTAAGCCGTTTAAACTGTTCGAACCCTCGTTGGGGATATTGGGTTTTTTATTCATTACAGTTTGTATTGTTTTTGGGTTTTTTAACTTGGATTACAGAAGTGTTGTTACAGGGGGTGTGTTTCGATTTTCGAATGGGATAGAGAGGTTGAAGTGGTTGAAGTTTGGAAGCAACAGTGAAGTTTATAGTACAAAAAAGATTGATTTTTTGAGTGTAGATGGAGATGGATGTGACGTGTTTGAAGGTGATTGGTTGTGGGATGAGAAGTATCCATTGTATCAATCTACAGATTGCAGGTTTTTAGATGGAGGGTTTAGGTGTTCCGAAAATGGACGACCGGATTTACTCTACACCAAATGGCGTTGGCAACCTAAAGATTGCAACTTGCCCAGGTTCTTAAACAATCCCACAAATTTTATTTTTTTATTATTTATTTTTCTATAATTGTTATGCATATTTTCTTTTGGAAACTTTATATACTTGACTTGAATTGGGCAAAGTTTCTGTTATGAAATTGGGAATTGTATCCTTTCCCAAAATTTCAATTCAAATAATTGGAGGGCAAGAAATCTTGATACACCTATTATGCATTTATGCTATTTCCGAAAGTGTTAATCCCTTTAACTTATTGGAAATTGTTTAATGTTTTTCCAAATTTTAATTTAATAATTGGAGGACAAATTTCTGTTGTGCAATTGGGAATTTTAATTTCGTGGGAAAGACCCTTGATTTTGTAACCTAGGAAGGGAAGGGGCATGATTGGGAGAATAGTCATGTTATAGCCAAATTTGCGCATTTGATTCGCAAGAAAATTCACACCTCATCAAAGATATACAAACATTTGATATTTTCCGCATTAGAGACATTTTCAGTGTCAGCTGTCAATAAATGGGTCGGGTTCTAGTGTCAAAAAAACCAAAACCAAATAACCCGCCCAAACCCAATGATTTTTGGGTTATTCGGTTTTTGGGTTGTTTTATTTGGGTTAACCGAATGAAAATACCTTATTTGTTTGTTTTAGGTTAATTTCTCATGAATTTGGGTAAACCGAATGACACCTAATTTTGTTACATTTTATACGTTACCTTTTATGTGTTCTTTATACGACAAATTGCAAAAAGTCACTATATTATCATAATATTTCGATTTTGACACCGAGTTATTTTTTCTTCAATTTTGTCATTACATTTATAATTTTGTTGCAATGTCAACCAATTAACCGATTTTGTTGCAAGGTCAACAATTATCCGATTTTGAGACGAGTTTTTTTTTTTTTTTTTCACTATTACAACAAATATTTTGTTTTGTTAATGTTGTAAAGTTTGATGGAACAACCAATAGCATTACTGCATACAATATAATCCCATGTATTAACTTTTATGTTTTCTCTATTATGTAAAAATTGAACCAAAACCTACAAACCTTTGTTATTATGAAAATATATGTGAAGTTTTATTCGTTTTAATTGGTAATTTGGTTTGGCTATGAGTGAAACGAATCTTACTTTTCTTACTTTATTTGAATTAAAAAATTAGGTTTAATGGGACACGAATGTTGGAAAGCATTAGGAACAAGCGAACAGTCTTTGTTGGAGATTCAATAGGCCGAAATCAATGGGAGTCTCTTCTTTGCATGTTATCATCTACAATTACTTCTAACAAAGAAAAAGATAACGATTCAATATACGAAGTAAATGGAAATCCAATCACTAAACATAAAGGTTTCTTGGTGTTCAAGTTTCGCGATTACAATTGTACAATTGAGTACTACAGAGCTCCTTTTCTTGTGCTTCAAAGTCGACCACCTCCCAATTCACCATTAGACATAAGAACTACACTTAAATTGGATCAAATGGATTGGAGTTCAGCTAAATGGCGAGATGCTGATGTTCTTGTTTTTAATACAGGACATTGGTGGAATAATGAGAAGACCATAAAGGGGTATGTATGTAATATGCTATTTATTTTGTATTTTTGTTTCGTTCTTATCAAATATATATTATCTTCGTTGACCTCAAAAGTCAAATGGTATCTCGTTTTCCTTCTAAAGGAAAGAGTTCATTTTTTTTGTCTTTAGATTTTGATGTGTGTTAAGGTCAAACGTATAGGTTTCTAAATTCATAACTGGTGTTTCTGTTTTCGAATTTAAGACCATTTTTTTTTTCAAAATATATTTCTTGCTATTTTGTTTGTTTAATAAAGTTGCCAATTTTTTCTAAGTTTGTGAATCTTGATGAGAATTTTGAAGTCTGTGTTGACTTCAAAAGTCAAACGATTTCATCCTTTTTCTTCTAACTGAGGTTCATTAATCTTTTGTTTAGATTTAATGTCACTTGTCTTTATCATATACTCCATTTGTCTAAAAACAGGGTATGTTTGACTTTTAAAGGTCAAATCTACGACTTTTTTAAGTTCACAATTTATGATTCTGAATACAAATTTAGCACCAATATTTTCAGAATATGTTTCTAACTGTTTTATTTGTTTAACAAAGTTACCCACCTTTCTTATGTTTTTGATTCTTAGTGAAAGTTTTGAAGTCTTTAATTATCTTAATTGACCTTAAATATCTCCTAAAATTCTCTTTGTTATAATCAGAGGTTGTTATTTTCAAGAAGGAGAAAAGGTCAATATGGAGATGAAAGTAGAAACTGCATACAAAAAGGCATTAGAAACAGTCATAGCTTGGGTGGATAAAGAAGTAAATAAAACAAAAACACAGGTGTTTTTTCGTACATATGCTCCTGTACATTTCAGGTTTGTTTTTTTTTTTTTTTTTAAATCTGTTTTTCCTTCTTTCTATTACAACATGATGCTTCCATTATTTTCTTATTAAGGCATTGTACTTTGAAAATCTACTGAAGAATAGAATTATACTTTCATTTTTAATATTGTTCTTATTAAGAAATTGTGCTTTGAAAATTATTTTAAATTATGACATTGTACTTTCAAAATTTTTATTGGGAAATTGTACTTTTAAAAAATCTACACAAAATGTAACTGTAAAAATGCTTTGTTTTTGGATCACATTACTATAATCGCACAAAAATTTCAAAGTACAATGTTGTAATATGAAAGAGTTAAAGGTAGGATGCCATGATAAACAAATCAATGTAAATAGATTGATATTTATTGCATTTAGATTTTTCTAACAAGAAACAATAATCATTTCTACATAGGTGGTAAATACCAAATGGCAACATATTTTCATTTATTTGTGTATTATAGCATCCCATTTTTATTTCCTTCTCTTAAAGCACTATTCATTCAAAATTATTTAAGAGTAAATTACGCGAATGGTCCCTATGGTTTAGGGTAATTTGCACGTTTGGTCCCTAACTTATTTTTTTAACTCGGAAGGTCCCTACTGTTTGTTTTTGTCATGCGTTTGGTCCCTGTCTTACTTAAAAAGACTATTTTGCCCTTGATTTTTTAATTTATTTAAATAAATAGACCCCTAACCACACCCCCTCACCTTACCTTACATATCCCACCATTTTTCCCTATTTAAATAATAGTTTTTTTAGGTAACACAGGGACCAAGCGCATAACAAAAACAAATAGTAGGGACCGATCGCGTAACAAAAACAAACAGTAGGGACCGATCGCGTAACAAAAACAAACAGTAGGGACCTTCCGAGTTAAAAAAATAAGTTAGGGAGCAAGCGCGCAAATTACCCCAAATCATAGGGACCATTCGTGTAATTTACTCTTTTTTTAATTAAAGCACTGTACTTTAAAAAAAAAATCATAGCATTGTACTTTCAATCTCATCTACTAGGAAAGTACACTTTGAAAAATCTACCCATAAACAAAGTAATAAAAAGTACATTGCTATTTCTTCTTAAACTTTTTCTAATAAGAAACAATAATCATTTTTACAGACGTGGCAACTGGCGGTCCGGCGGAAATTGCCACCAAGAAACACTACCAAATCTCGGTTCCTCACCGGAGCAACCATCAACCACCTCGCCACAATACCATATTTTCAAAGACATAATTTCAAATAGCTCAAAAAATTCATCAATGAATGTACTCAACACCACCATTATGTCAGCAAGGAGAAAAGATGGCCACCCTTCATTGTACTATCTTGGCCCAATGATGAGTCCGGCGGCGGTTCACCGCCAGGACTGCAGCCACTGGTGTCTTCCCGGAGTTCCCGATGCATGGAATGAGATACTTTACGCATTTGTATTGAAACAGGCGGCAGTTTCTGGTTGATATTGGTTTTCCGGCGATCGGAAGGAGGTGGAGTGGAGTGTATATATGGTTTCTGATTACTACACCAACGCCTTTTGAAGGTGGTGGTGTTTGGAGTTTTGACATGGTGATGAAGAGATGCTTCAAATTGGGGACATAAAGTATTTGTAAATGTAGGTTGAGTTTAAATTTTAAAATTATTAGTTTTGGAACTTATTTAACTTGGAAGTGAAATTATAGAAATGGTAAAAAGGCCTTTAATCGGGATTTATTTGATTTACGTTATATATTTAAAAATAAATATATTTTTTTAGTAAATTATTTCCTAAGACCATTCATGTCGGTGCGTAACCTCACATAGCTTTTGTAATTATCTGAGGTCATCATCAATATATTGAACTTTTTTTTAAGAATTTAATGATTTGTTACACAATATTTTGGTTTTGGTGGTTTTATACCGGTTGAATTTTACATTCCATTAGGATCTTATTTTTAATCATTTTGTTTTTAATTTTGTTTAATTCATGATTTTATAGATAATATTTATCCATAAAACTAGATTCGTTTGTATAAAATTATATTTCGTTGAGACAAGACTTTTTTGCTATAAAAGAAGACAACCTATTCTTTATTATTCACAACTACCAATTGAAACTATTTTTTAATTTCTTTTACAATTTCATCAACATCCTTATCTTTTTCTACTTTGGGTTCAATAATTAACCAAATGATAGTAATTCTACATTTCAATTATATAAGGAATCGAAATATTTGGAAGCATAACAATCATATGCTAAAAGTTCAAGACGATTTGGACAAAGTTGAAGATATATAAAAAGAAATAGTGAAACAGGATTGTAGGAGGGCCTGCAAGATTTTGGAAACTTAAAAATGTAAACGATATAATATATTCATGCATTATATTTACTGTTGTAAAAATTCCGGATTTGGTCCTAATTAATCTCCGATTCATCCCTAGCTGCTACCCGGCCGACTAGAGGACGCATAGCTGATTAATCTCTGCCTACACAATTAGTGAAGCAGTAAAAAGCGATGAAATTTTACTTTGAATAAGTTCTATCTCAATAGAAACTATTTCATGAATGATTAGTATTGTATTAATCATATTAATTTATTTTGTTATTATATTAGTGGTATTTATGAACATATATATATATATATATATATATATATATATATATATATATATATTAAATTCAACCAATTAACAATTTATTATCTCCGGTTAATCTTCTGATTAATCGCCGCATAACCGATTAATCCCTTAACTCAGTTCATCGACTAACTAACACCGAACGTTTTTTTACAACTTTGATTATATTACATTATATGATCGTATAAAAGAAATACATTTAGAAATTAGTCAGATGATGTTCGTTCTCCGATATGTGTGCATGAGGATTTGCCTAAGAAGTTCAATATCAAATCCAAAAGAACTCCAAGATAGGTGATAGTGTAGTACATCATCCTATTTGACATTATTTAATGAAGTATACTTTGGAAAATATGGTTAATATGCAAGTTTACTAGGTTGTATTGGAATAATAAAATGTTATCATTTTAAATGATGTTTTTGAATTTTTTTTATTGTTTCGGTAAAGACAAAACTGCACAAATGGTCCCTGTGGTATGTCGAAAAATGTCACTTTGGTCCAAAAAGGTTTGGACTAGCGCCAATGGTCCAAAACTTTCATTTTGTTGCTTCTTTGATCCAATCTGTTCTGATTATTTTCAAAATGACGGATCTACCCCTGTCAATATGATTTTCTCTTTTTTCTTATTTGTTTTTCTTATTTTCTAATTTTAAAAAAATAAAAAAATAAATAAAAATAAATCTCTCATGAAAACAAGAAAATAAATCTCTCTCTCTCTCTCTCTCTCACCATTGTTGGAAAAAACCTCACCATCTTGCCTCCTTTTCCCTCCTTCTCACTGAATTATTGTCAAGGATCGAACAGGGAATCAAGGGCAGTCAAGGGCTACCACCCTCGACCACCCACTGCCACCGTGACCCACCACCATCAAACATCTCCCGACCTCTAATCTATTTCCCCCTCCTTCGTTTTTTTTTCTGAATTGAGAAAACCACCAATGAAGGTGGAGACTTTCCGGCAAGGAAGACAACCCGCAGCCACAGATTTCGGCCACCACCGGGCCCCTCTCCACACCCATTCATTTTCTCCGCCGATTCCGACCCGATACATAGTAACCGGAGCTGCTGGAACGGACTCCGACCACCACAGTAGATCGCCGCCGCCGCCATGTTGCTCATCGCCGCCGCTTTGCTGCTCATCGCCGATTCCGACTAGATACAGAAGGGCGTAGGGCACTTCAAATTAACCCCTTCGTTTTGCAAGGCGAAGAACAACAACACACCCATGAACGTCGTCCCTGCATCCAACGCCGTCGATTAGAAAAAGCCATATCAATTTTTTATACAAACCTCCGGAACCAAAGATTCGCTCAGGTCCGATGACTCCCCAAATCACAAAAGTATCAAATGTAACTTTGAATTTGGGGGATGTCCATGGAATTTCGGGATGAAGCCCTGCGAGATTCATCATCCCTACAACTAGGGTTCCGACGAGCTGAGTTGTGAACATGCATCGATGTGGGATCTTCATGTGGTGTCAAGAGGTTGGTGGTGTCCGATGGGATTCCACAGCAGCGGCGACAGAGGGCGGCAATGGCAGCCCTTCTGCTTTTTGCTTTCCTATTTAGACGGGTTTGACGAGAGAGAGAGAGAGAGAGAGGTGGGGTGGGGTTTGGTGGGTTATTAGCTGTATATTTATTTTTAATTTTTTTTAATCTGAAAATCAAAAAAGCAAATAAGAAAAATGAAACATCCCAAAAATACAGTCTAAAAATTTCGTTTTAATTTAATAATGAAACCATAGTCATCAAACATCATATGAAAATCATAAACAATGTATCTCAAAATATCGTAACAATTGTCAAAATATCAGAGTATAAACATCCCAGGCTGAATAAATGGTGTGTGCACTACAATCTTTCCGAGCTCCTCTTTTGAAAACTGAGTACCTGAAACCAAAACTGAAAACTGTAAGCACGAAGCTTAGTGAGTCTCCCCAACTATCACATACCATACAATAACATATAAAGCACATACTGGGCCTCGCCCACTGCATCGGACCGAAGTCCGGAAACTACATCGGACCGAAGTCCGGAACTAACCAGGGCCTTGCCCTCTGCATCAGACCGAAATCCGGAAACTGCATCGGACCGAAGTCCGGAACTAACCAGGGCCTTACCCTCTGCATCGGACCGAAGTCCGGAAACTGCATCGGACCGAAGTCCGGAACTAACCAGGGCCTTGCCCTCTGCATCGGACCGAAGTCCGGAACTAACTGAACATAGCATAATCATAATTAATAGCATAAACACAGATACTGCATACTACATCGGACCGAAGTCTGGAACACATAACATAAGACATACTTGAATCACAAAGACATCAAGCACACTGAACTACTGCATCGGACCGAAGTCCGGAACTACTGCTAACTAAACGGGTCGGCATTGTGGCCGTAGACCCATTCCTACTGGAAGGAAAACTCACCTCACACTGCTGAAGTCCCGTAGACACAATCTCATACTGCTGAAGTCCCGCAGACTCAACCCTAGTTGCTGGATGACAGATTCCCGAACTGTCAACACCAAAATAACACCCAATTAATAATTGGGTTCCAACTCATAATCATAAGTCTATACTTGGGTAAAAGACTACTTTACCCCTGTCTTAGCTTGACTCAGTCCCAAGGCCCAATCCACAGGCCCAAAGTCCAACTATGGCTCAAAGCCCAACCTTTGGCCCAATTTTCCAAATTGGGCCCAAACCTCTACATGGACTTCCCTTAAGGCCCAATTGTTCAGTCCAGTCCAACATGTCTCATTCTAAGGGCCCAATATCATAAAACCATCTAGGCCCAAACTATGGCCCATCTATGGCCCAATTTTCCAAATTGGGCCCAATCCTTCATATAGGTCTTACTCTAAAGCCCAACTAATTACTGTAGTCCATTTGATTATTCTTGGATGGCCCATTAATAAACCAATTACCAAAACCCAATCGAAAGGCCCAACTCAAGGCCCAAGTGAAACTAGGGTTTCACATAAAATGACGATTAGGGTTAAGTGTTTCTTACTTAACCCATTAAGGACTTAATCCATTAAGTCCTTTACTCTACTAGATAAGTGCTATGAAGTGATTGGGCTTAATACACAATCCAATCTCAATGGCCCAAGAGTGGGTCCAATAAGTCTAAGGCCCAATTACTCACAATTAGGGTTTTCACTCAAACATGGCCCAATAGGCCCAAAATTAATCTTTAAGCCCATTTAGAGTTTTGGCTAGGTCCATTAGGGTTTTGCTTGTGGGGCACCACCCACTACCACCTCGGGTAGCGGTGGTCAATCGGCGGCACACGGCGACGGCCACCACCTTACGGTGGTGGTTACTATTATTATTTTCATTATTCCATGCTAATTACAATTACAAGACTTTTATCCAAAATAACACACACACTCACTAACACACACTAACTAACACACACACACACAGCCACACCATGGTGGCCGACGGTGGCGCTTGGCGGCAGCCACCACCTAACAGTGGTGGTTATGATCTTGGGCCAACACAACACCAAAAGCACTCCAAACATCAATCCAAACGTACCCGAAAGCCCACAACCACCCGAGATGGTGGCCAACAGTGGCGGAGCGGCGGCAGCAGGTGGTGGTGATGAGTTTTCTTCATTTTTTTCATGTCCAAATATCCATACAACATTAAATTCACAAACTATACCCATACACACCAAATCACGCACACAGCCACCTCCTCTCGGTGGCTGGTGGCGGCAGGAAGGGATGCTATGGCGGCAGCCACCATGGTTGGCAGCCATGGTGGGTTTTTCTCGGGTTTCTATTGCCAAACAAGCACCCACAGCCACCTCATGGTTCTAACAGCAGCTTAATCTCTTCCAGGTACGAGACAAACAACTCCCAACCACCAACTAGGTGGCTGAGGAGGCTGGAATCAAGCAAAATGGCGACCACGGTGCTTCCGGCGGCAACAGCGACTCACATGGCGTCGAACCACTCGAGGGAAACGAAAATACGAGGCGAGGTTGATCTTACCGGGGGATTATGGTTGCTCGCAACCATCTCTTCATCGTTTACGACTCCAACTCCTATCTCGGTCGTCCTCTTGGCCGTTCACGGTGTCACCGACAGCGGAGC